AATTATTTCACTCAGCATAATACCCTCTAGGTTCATCCATGGTAGAAAACTCCCATTTCAATAGAGGCGAACTATGCCTTATTAAATATTGGAGTAAGAACCACATAGCAGGAGTGTGAATAGTATAAACTTTCAGAAGTTTCATTTTCTCAGCTTTAGTGGAGTTCTTGATTCTGTTTTGCTTGCCATTTTCTAAGTTACTGTGCACATAAAACTATGCACAGAAGAGCTGAAACTTGTTAGATCAGATACATTACAGAAATAGCAACATTTCCATAAATGGAAAACTGATGCTATTATTTGGATAACATAAGCATAAAATTAATTTTAGACATTAAAAATATGGAGGAAAATTATCAGAATTTTTTCCTAAATACATTAATCATTAACTCATATTGTTTATGAGTGCAGTAATTGACCCTCTGAAGTCTATTGTTATATAATCAAGGTCAGGTTTTCACTATAAAGTAAGGCAGCTCTAGTTTTTTTTTAATATTTTGCTAAAGATATAGTATAGCTATTAGATTCATTTTTTTTTTTTTACCTCATAACAAATGGAAAATGAGCACTCTTTTCTCTCAGTAACATATTTTATTTTGACCAGCCTTAACAAGCTGCTGAAGTATTTGGTTGAATATGCTAAGGAAATTTAAAAAGCTTCCCATTAATGAGACAAAAAAATAAATTTCAACACTATGTTTATATAATAGAAAGAAATGTGAGGGAGAGAATCACGTAGAAGGAATATAACTAGAATGAACCTTCAGAAGTTTCATTTTCTCACTTTCAGTAGGGTTCTCGATTCTGTTTTGCTTGATATTTCCTAAGTCACTGTGTTTCTCATTTTCCACAATGATTGAGTTATTTTCCTTTAATCCCAAGGAATAACTAACTATGCCTTGCTGCTTTTGTTTGCACTATTACCTCTAAAATGTCCTTCCTTCATCGTTTCACAGATAAACTCCTATTTTACAAGGCTGAGTGTAAAAGTCATCTAATTTTTGAAACTTTCCTTAATCATCCATTATTTCTGTATCATGGGAAACAAATACATCTGGCCTGTGAATTCTCAAAGGCAAGGATATAATATTATCCAATTCCGTATTGCTCAGTTTCCATCTCAGGAGCACAGGTGGTACTATGTGGCTGATCTCAGATGAGATACAATTTGAGACAGATCCTGAAGGAGAGAATAGTATAGATAACATTATGGAGATGGAGATCTATTTCAGGAGAAAAGAGTGAATCATCCTTTGCCTGTACAATAGACAATTTACCTAGTAAATTATGTTTGATGCTGAGGGGAAGCAGGATTTGGCATCCCAAAATATGCCTTTTGGGGTATTGATTATTTTAAGCTGGATATTTTTAAGAAAATAAAGATTCATAAAAAACTTCTGAACTTTCCCAAAACTGTCTAAAATAAAGGCTTTATAATCATGGATACCTATAGTTTAATATGAATGAAGTATGACAGACAGAGAGCAACCAGCAAGGCCCATTTGATCAAAGTCTTTTCTGTGTCCCATTTTTAAAGTTGGCCCAACAAACATTTGTTTTATCAAACATTTGATTTTCCCTCTCCATGTGAATTGCTGTCCTGCCATTTGAAGTCCTAACTCTCCCAACTCCCCGCCGCATCTTCTTAGCTCAAGATGTCATATAAGCCTTAACTGCCTAATTTGTCATCTGGACTCATTCTTATGGAATCCTTGTATTTACATGCAGAATAAATTTGTCATTTTTTCCTGTTAATCTCTCATATTAATTTGATTTTTAGTCTAGCCAGAAGACCTTAAAAGGTAGAAGGAAAATTAATTTTTCCACCTTGCAGTGCATGCTCTGATGTTTTCCATCAAAGAAATACTGTCATGTTATCTATTGCTCTATTGAACTTTACTTTTTCACATTTATTATTTATATACAAAAATTACATTGTACTTATACTTAGAGGTTGTTATGATTGACTTTGGCCAAAATTTATGTAATTCTGACTACACTAATTAATAGAGACATAATTTTATAATCCTTCATAGTGATCATGAATTGCATTACATTTACAAAGACATTTTACAAATTAAACATATGAAATGATAATAAAATGCTAGATATATGGCCAAATAACAGAACTACTGCCTTCTAAGCTAGAAATGGTGAATATACATACAACATAGGATATGGGGTTCTGCTGCTTTTGATCCTGATATCAGGTGTTACTTATCATCCTTGATTACATTACATGGATTGATAAAGGCTTTTTGGGTCTTCTTGTAATTATTATTACTCTTTGACTAATGCCACTGTTCTTACTTACAATTATGTAGAATTGAGATAATTTATATAAGAGACATGAAGACTTGAACTTTATTTCATATTTAATCATGCAGGAAAGACATATATCTTATTTTTAGGAAAATTATCCTAAATTGCTTGACTGGACACATTGAGAGATTTATAAGAACAAAGTAAACTAAGCAAATATATGTGTTTTTGTGTGTGTATACAAATATAACCTTTCTTGCAGACTAATATTTTTTAAGTTATTATTTTACTTGCAGCACCTATGCTCCTTTTATCGTTGAAATACATGTAATAATATGAATCTGTTTTCTGTCACATGGCTCCTGAAATGTTATTTTCATGTTACAAGAATTATGCCAAAACTATACATTAAATGAATATATTGAGTACTTGATAAGCATAAGCATTTTTCTAAGTTAGGTAAGGGGATATGAAAGATGACATCATTGTCTTCAAGGAGTTTGTATTCTGGTGGAGAAGCTATGATGTGTAAGCATAAAAATAAGTAGTAACACCAAAGAAGTTGTGGTTAATTGCTATCAGAGAAACATAGACATACATAGTCTGAGTGTAAAGAAAATAAATGCTGTGGTAAACTAAATAGCTTCTCGATTGAGTAATGTAGTGGAAACTTTATTTGAAGCAAGAACTGATTTTGTTTAATGCAATTGATTCTGATTAGTGTAGATTGAAGAGGAATGAGAAAGGATTGAGGGAGAAAAGTGGGGAAAAAAAGCTTGGGGAAAGGAATTTACAGGGTGAGTTCAGAGGACAGTGAGCAGCATAGCAGTACTAATGAATTCATGAAGAAGAGCAATAAGAAACAGATAAGTTAAAGACATATCATAAAGCAGTGTTTCTCAAAATATGGTTTTTGAATTACCTGATGTTAATCACTTGAGATGCTTGTTTAAAATATTTGTTGTAATCCTTTTCCTCAAGCCTACAGAATTAAGATATCTGGAAATAGAAAAGGGAAATCTGAGTATGTAGGATGCTACCTGTATGTTTTCAGTTTTAGTTTTTTCACAACTATTTGAAATACGAATGCAGAAAATATGTGCTTGCAGATTTTCTTTAGGGAGAGAAATAACATGACAAAGTTTAGTCCAATGTGTAGGATAACTTGGAAAGAGATAGAATAACAGTTAAAATAATATTCTATGCCTGAACAAGTATTGGGCTAGTATCTTAGGGTTCTCCAGATAAACAGAACTGAGGGGTTTGATACATAGATAGATAGATAGATAGATAGATAGATAGATAGATAGATAGATAGATGATAGATAGATAGAAAGATGAGAGATGATAGATTGATGATATATAGATAGACGGATAGGTAGATAGATAGATAGAGGATAGATAGATGACAGATAGATGCTAGATAGAAAGATGAGAGATGATAGATTGATGATAGACAGACAGATAGATTATAGATAGATGATAGATGACAGATGATAGATAAGTTGACAGACATAGACATAGATAAGTTTATTTCGAGGGATTGGTTCACATGATTACAGAGACTTAAGAAGCGCCATGGCCATGATTGGCTGTCTGCAAGTTGGAGGTCTGGAAAGTTGGTGGTATAATTTCAGTCCAAGTTCAATGAGAACTAGGAGCGAATGGAAATGGTGTAAGCCCTAGTCTGTGTGAAGGCCCAAGAACCAGGAACACCAATGTCGGAGGGCAGAAGAAGATGGATAGTCAAGCTCAAGCAGAGAGCACATTTGTTGTTTCTCTACCTTTTTGTACTTACTATTCAGGCCTTCAACAAATTAGATGATGCCCACCCACACTGGTGAGCGTGACCTCCTCTACTCAATCTACTGATTCAAATCACAAATACCCTCACAGATGCGCTAAAAAATAATATTTCACCAGCTATATCGGCTTCACTAAGTCCAGTCAAGTTAACACATAAAATTAATCATTATAGCCAGTGAGATGGGGGAAAATATAGAAAAATTGATAGGACTTGATGGCTGGTGATGAAGAGAAAGTAATAAAACTAAGATAATTTTATACTTTTGATCATAGGTAACATAAGTTAAATCAAGAAAATAGTTGAAAATAAGAAATGGAAAATTTGAAAGAGGTTCAAAACTAGGCGTATAGACTTTAGAAGGAATCATATAAGATGATTACTTAAGCCAAAGGATTGTTATGTAAAGGGTCACTAGCATCACATGGTATAAACATAAAATGAAGTTTAATCAGGCAGAAAGGCATCAAAGAAAAAAAAAGCATCTCTCTAGTTTCCCTAACCCATAGAGAGAAGAACATAATTTGTACATACCTGAAAACACTATAAAAAGAGCTAAAAGCATAGGACTTAAAGTAGTACTACTCTATGTGTTGAAAGGGAATTTGGAAGTGAGGTAAGGAAAAATGCATTGGTCATGTTCCAATGGCAGCATTCTGGTCAAGGAAACATACCCTAAAGCAGGGGAGCTGATGAAGCTAAACAGTTTGTACTAGGGGAGAGGCAGTTTAGCTCCACTGAGCCAACCCTGATCCAGTGATCTACTTATATGTTTATCTGTCAAAAGAGAAGAATTAATGAGCCTCCAGAGACTGGAGACTGGCAGGAGAAAAGAGCAAACGACTGGGTTTTAAGAAGCCCTCCATTTAGGGAATGAGAGAAAGAAACAGCCACTGAAGAGGCCGTGGAAAAGAGCCATTAACTGCATGTAATGATGGGCTTGTTAGCCAAAGGAGAAGAAGAATTTCAAGTAGAGGATGGTGAAAACATCAAACATTACTGGTGTTTAAGAAAATTTACGACTAAAGAAATTATGTTTAATGACAGTCAGATTGACTATACAGTAATGTCAAATAGTGACAACTTTTCTGAGAAAGAAACAGGGAAATTACAATAGGTAAAGGATTTCTTGGTTTTATCTGCACAGCACATGATTAACAATTTAGTGTATTCTTAAATATTCCCTGATTTTAAAATTTTTATACTTTTGAGGCCTGCATTTCAGTTTAATTTACATATTATATGAATCCAAAAGCACAAACTGAGAATTTTCTGTTTCAGAAATAGGAAACATAGATTTAGTTTGTCATTTTTTTAAATCATTATTCAAAACACCAGTCTTCTTCCAAAGCTAATTCATTTTTTATCCCCAGGAACTTTTATAAATTCAATAGTCAATCCACTTCCTCCTGATATCTTGTACCTAATTAGTCTCCTATATAATATCTTGAAAATAGTTGCAGACAAACAATTTAAGGGAAATCATTATATCAATGCTGTCACTTTCAGTTTTCAAAGTCTATTCTCAGTTATTTATTTGCAGCACATGCTTTCTGTCAAGATTCCTTGATAGAGATTGCTATGCTTATGTTTTATTAAAATGCACAAGTCAGTTGGACACTCTAGCCATTCCAGCATTTCAATTTAACTAATGGAAGATTCCTATTAGGTGATATTTCATAAATGCTAAGATATACATGAGATTAAAGGATAAGAGGTAAAGAGAAATTTTATAAAATATATTTATTAAAAATTTTATAACTCAGATGATTTACCAATGGCACAACTCAAATTAAAAATTACCTTAATAGAATAGTAGAGAAAAGTCAGGTACCTAAAAATTTAATGTAATAAATTGTTCAAGTTTCTCTGACTTTGGTATCAGACAGGCCTGGGTTCGATACACATCTTTGAGCTTAACTAACTTCTCTAAGCTTTAGAATCTTCAAAATTATATATCAGGATAAATATTACTGCACCTCTTAAGGTGCTTGAAAATTTCAAGCAAAATGGTATTTAAGTTAAGTACTTTGCAGAAGTATTAGAATGACACCCAATTTAAAAAGCTATAATTAGCCTTACCAGAAAAGCCATTTTCGATTTGTTCTCATGTCTGGCTCCTGGCTTGCTGCAGTCACCTTTGCTGCTCGCTTCCTCCACCGCTGCGGACTCCTGTAGCTTTTTCGCCAGTCTTCGAACTCTCGCTTTCTTTTTAATCCGCTGCATCCGATCACCCGCGTACCCCACCATATCAGACGCGGCCGTGGACACCAGCACTGAGATCACCACCAAGGACTTGAAGGAGGAAAAGAAAGTTGTAGAAGAGGCAGAGAATGGAAGTGACGCACCTGCTAATGGGAACGCTAATGAGGAAAATGGGGAGCAGGAAGCTGACAATGAGGTAGGTGAAGAGAAAGAAAGAAGGGAAGGAGAGAAAGAGGAGGAGGAAGATGATGGTGAGGAAGAGAATGGAGATGAAGATGAGGAGCCTGAGGCAGCTATGGACAAACGGGCAGCTGAAGATGATGAGGATGATGATGTTGACACCAAGAAGCAGAAGACCGATGAGGATGACTAGACAGCAGAAAAGGAAAAGTAAAAAAAAAAAAGGCCACTGTGACCAATTCACCCTCCACTTCACGTCTCAGAATCTAAACATGGTCACCTTCAAGTAGAGAGTCACGCCCGCCCGCCCACCCAACATGGGCAGTGCCACCCGCAGATGACACACGCTTTCCACCACCCAACCAAAATCACACGTGAATTTGCAACAGGGGAGGAAAAAAACTCCCAAACTTTCAAGGCCCTGCTTTTTCTCTTAAAAGTACTTTAAAAAGAAAAATTCGTTTGTATATTTTATTTACATTTTGTATTTTTGTACATATTGTTAGGAGTCAGCCATTTTTGATGATCTCGATGACGAAACCAGCCCTTGGAGCATTCTATGTCCTACTTCTGACTTTACTTATGGTGTGACCATGTTCATTATCTCAAAGGAGAAAGAAAACCTTGTAAATAAACACAAAAACAACAACAACAAAACAATCTTATTCCGAGCATTCCAGTAACTTTTCTTGTGTATATACTTAGCTGTACTGTAAGTAGTTGGTTTGTATGAGATGGTAAAAAAGGCTAAAGATAAAAGGTTTCTTCCCCCCCTTTTTTTGTCTATGAAGTTGCTGTTTATTTTTTTGATCTTTTTGATGTATGTGTGAGACAACGTTGTCCAACAACAAACCGGAATTTTATTTTGCCGAATTTTTCTAAAAAAAAAAAGCTATAATTATTATTACTATTATTTTTATTGTTATACTAGCTATATGTGTGAGTGACATTTAAAAATACAGCAATCACATGTGAAAAATGATTAATTTATCACTTTTAATTATTGTATATAGGATTCCATGCATTTTTCTGTAAGTACTTTGAATAACCAATGGTTGTAGTTTGTGACATATTAGAAAAGCAGTATACCTTTAAGAGTCTTTAAACTTGAGTACCCTGATCTTTACTGACAATCAGACAATGTGTGAACAAAAATATAGACAATATTTACCCTCATATTAATGGTCATAATAATATAATCATCTATTTTGCAAAGGAGAACATATGAAAAAATATAATACTTGATAAGTTTTGAACACTAAGTGGAAAATTTGTATTTTATAATGTCTTTGGTACATTGGGAGGGAAAATGCAAACTCTTTCTGTAGGTGGAAAGATATGGCCCTGTTTCTCTGGTAAGGACTAAATTTGTCATTCCCAATTGCACTTGGGATGGTTATTTGATTGGAAGCATACTAAAAATAACTTATGAAAAGAATATTTGGTGGTTTGCACAAAGGAAAATTTAAATAGAGTCTAAGGAAGGACAAAAAGAAAAACAGATAAGCTTTAACAATCTTGGTCAGAAACTCAGAACACTGCTTTTTTGCAGGGAGGGGGCAGTGCTATCATGACACCTGGGATCTTGTACCTAAAGCACAAGGGTCAAGTGTCTGAGAGGGAGCATCTGATTAGCCTGGATTAAGACATACATGTACTCTTGGCCAAGGGTTGACTGCAGAACACTGTGATTGACAGTTTCACTAAGAGCATATGGCATATTGAGGTATAGTAACGCAAGGGAGGAAAACATGGAGTTCTGTGTCCAAAATAAGGGATGTTTGGCAGACAAACCAAAAAAATTCTACTTTGCCTTTTCAAAAACCAATATAGATCCCAAATGTGATTGACTGCAATGTTTAAGTGGGATGTGTGGGGACAGACAAATCAAAAAAGTGAAATGTGGTTGACTGAAATATTTAGGTGAGCACTGTTGGGGACAGGTATAGAGGAGTGGCATATTACTTAAAGGTTATAGTGCTAGATTTCACTTTCTATCATGATGAAAATTTAATTTTTATTTTTACTACGACTGATGGTTGGAAATTTAAATAGCTGATTTACTAGAACTTTTCAAAATTGACAAGTTTATTTTGCTTCAAAAAATTATTTTCCTCTAGAAATTTTGGTAAGATTAAAGATAATGCTTGAATTTAATGACAATTGCAGGAACTAAAAGCCCTTATTTAACAAGAGTTCATTAAATACTAAGGACTAAATTTAACATGTTCATTGCTCTAAATAGTTGTAGTTAAATTGCTTCACTTTGTAGTACTTCGAAAATTTCTGCAAAAATTTAATTATTAAATATGTTGCGTACCAGATGGTTAAGGAATGAAGCAAAGCTATACAGATAAAGAATAATTAGGTTGTGTTTTTCAAGGTTACTTCTCTCTGTAGTCATTGCTTCTTGGTTAAATCTTCACAAGTAAATTATATATGCCTGAGGAAATATCTTCTTACAGACAAAAAAGTAAGCAAATTCTTTTTATTTTAGGGAAAATAACATATGCTTAACTAGCATCAGCTAGGGCTCATTGATGCAAAAATAGTAAAGATTCGCATGGTGTCTCCCTGGGCTCTTTAGATACAAGAGATGATGTTTTGGAAAAGGCATAGAAAGGAACTGAAGATGTTTCATTTTTGTATATTATGCTTTATAACTTCTGTTTTCTCTTTTCCCCCTAGTCTTTCAACATATTTAGTATTAACTTTTTCTTAATTAAAAAGTACTATCAATGCATAAAGTTAAGGAAAGTATATAAAGAAAATAATTTATAAGCCTGTACTTCTGAATGCTTTTAAAATTTGCATAGTTTTAAGTCCCCCCCAGGGCTACATACATATATGCAAATATCCATACACAAATACATAATTTTGATCATGCATTTTTGGCTTTAACATCTTGGTTTTTTTTTTCTTTTCAGTTCCTGTTATATCAAAAATATTTTATATCATTTGATATTCTTCAAAAACGTCATTTTAATGAAGTTTAATATTCCACCATGTGGACACATTGTAATTTACTTTTCCCGTATTCTTGAAAATCTAGATTTTTTCACAAGTGGCATTTGAAAGCAGCAGTTCTTAATGAGATCCTTGTAGTCCGTTACTGCTCTAAAAATGAAAACTCTTTACTCATATGCCTACTAGTACTTTTTATGGAGATATGGTCCATAATTTTCATAAAAATATTCAAAGCTACACTTATGCCAAATGGGGATGCGTCAATTCAGCTACTAAGTCATATCCTGTAGATCGAATGTCTTTTTTTTACTCTTTCCAAAGGATTTAGCATAATGATTAAAAAAGTTTGCTAGTATCCTAATATATACTATACAGGAAAAAAACATACTCAACTTCTGTGTTTCTCCTTTACTCTCACACTACTACCACACTTACAACACTTCTGATACCAGATATATGGGTTTGCCACTCATCAAGCAATTCGGAGCAATACCAGCTAGGTGTCCTACAATTCAATTTAATTCTAACACTAGCTAGAATTAGTGCAGACCCCACAAGTTAAGGCTCAGTCCCACAAGACTGCCTCCTACTTCAGATGCCAATCAAAAATAATAGGTCCTCAGGACACCCACAACTTTTGTCTGTCTGACTTGCCTATAAATCAGAAGTTCTCACAATGCCCCTTCTTGAATTCAGTCAGTTTCTAGAACAGCCCACAGAATTCAGGGAAACACTTACATGCATTTACCAGTTTATTATGCACTAAAGGATGTGATAAAGGATACAGATGAACAGCCAGATGACGAGATACATAGGGTAAGACTGAGAAGCATCCTAGTTTAAGAGCTTCTGTTTCCATAGAGGTCAGATGCACAATTCTCCTGGTAGGTGGATGTTTTCACCAACCTGGAAGCTCTCCAAACTTCACATTTTAGAGATTATTATGGAGACTTCATCACATAGGCATGATCGATTATTAACTCTATTTTCAGCTATTTCCCCTCTCTGGAGAATGTGCATAGAAATGAAGGTTTAAAGGTTCTAAATCATGACTTGTCCTTTCTGTAACCTGCACCCATCCTGAATCCCACCAAGGGTCACCTCATTAGTATGAAAGATATTCCTATCACCCAGGAAATTCTCTGGAATTTAGGAGCTCAGTATCAGTTGTTCCTATCACTCAGGAATTTAGAAAGGTCTTAGGAGTTATACATTAGGAACAGGGGTCAAAGACTAAATGTTAGAACAAAATGTTCTGTCACCCCTATTTACAAGGTGTTTTAGGAGCACTGTGTCAGGAACCACGACACTAATTCTTTTGGACCAGGGCCTCTCTCTTATGATCCCATTTAACCTTAATTACTTTATAGTCTCAAGAAAGCAAGCCATAATATTTCTTTCTGATTGTGTATGTGTGTGTGTATGTAAAGGTATGTATGGCAATTTAAGATTGCCTACATGGTATGAGTCATTACAGTCAATGTACCTTTTCAAGGGCTTAGTAAATTGCATATCCAAGATTTAATCTTTTCTTGTGGCTGTTGGCTTTTTGTTTATATATTTTACCAAATTTATCAGTCATTACTTCAAATAAACAAAACAGCTTTAGGCTTAAAATATACTTTTGTTTTTAATTATATGTCAAAAATACACATTTTATTTAATGGCATATTCAAATATTTTTTTTTATCTCAGCTATGGTTGTGCATTTTAAGATAAAATAATTCTTAATAGGCTTGTAATGTTGGAATATTTTTACATTAAAGTGTTTATAGTGTATGTCTGTTTTTCTCAATGATAGTTAACTTTTTTTTGAATTTTCTTTTTTTATTAAGTTTATTGGGGGTAACATTGGTTAATACAATTATATACTTTTCAGGTGTACATTACAGTTTGACATCTATATATTCTATTGTGTGTTTACTACCCAAAGTCCAGTTTCAGCTACCAAATATTTGATCCCCTTTACCCACTTCACCCTCCCCCTAACTCCCTTTTTTTGATCCCCTTTACCCTGTCTACCTTTCCTCTCCTGCTCCACCCCCTACCCTCTTGTAACCACTAGTCTATACTCCATGTCCATGAGTCTCTGTTTGTCTTGTTAGTTTGTTGCTTTAGGTTTATATTTCACATGGAGGTGATATCATGTGATTTTCAGCTTTTTCTGACTGGCTTATTTCACTTAGCATGATTATCCCAAGGTCTATCCATGTTGTCGCAAATGGCAGTATTTCATCTTTTCTTATAGC